TGTTCCTAATAATCCTTTAGGTGAGTGTATAATGCAAGCTTGCTTAAGTAATAGGTTTTCATTATTATAGGTAAGAGGAACTAACATATTTTGGTATGGTAGCTTGTTTAGCAAAAAGGTCAAGGTACAGAGCTGATCGGAGAAGTAAGGGTGCTGCAGAAAACATTTATAAGAAATGTGGGTCAAGATCACGTGAAGAGAGAACTAAGGAACGTATGGGGAAGTCAGATGAACTTGTTTTGAACAGGGTGATGTAATCACAAGAATGATCATGAAAAAGTCAACCCTGCCTTTACCCGATAATGAGTTCAGTTTAACAAAAGTTACTGGTGTCTACAGATATCTGAAGCCTCCCTGTAAACTGTAAACTGTCATGTTTTTGGCTATAAAAGATGTAAGCATTTGTTCAGGGAACAGAGCAGGAGACACAGAGAAACATTGCTCTTGCCCCAATGGCATGTAGGCTAATTTGGATACAACTTATTAATTACTGTTAGAGAGAAAGTGGATTCAATATAATACATACAGACAAAACACAGGCAAAAATAATCTGAAAATCCAAGGGGTGTGCATTGTCCCCCAGAGTCCCCTGATCCATGCACACTTCACTAGAAGTGCCTGTCTTGTCTAGTTTTAAAGTTATTAACCCATTCATGTATTGTCCCATTACACATTATACGGATACATTCGAGCATTAAAAAAATGAATAAAAAATTGTACGTAAAGCAGTCTGGGAAACAAAGGGGTATACAACAGTCACCATGATCCCAAAATGCTAAACCACCATGTCATTACAGCTGAAAGGACCTATTATATTAGCTATTAACACGATTTTGCACAAATCACGAAATGGTTTGAAGCGCAAAATAATCGGGGTGCATCGTTGTCTTTGTACTGGTCATCACAATTCTGTCATTAAAAACGCCCCACCGTACTTCCGTTAAATGTTATTAAAGCCAGAAAACTGAATATCGAATATGAGGCTAACTTAACCGCGGTCTAAAACACTTCACTGGACACTGCGCGGTATATTAAGGCTAAACACAAACCTTATGAGATGTACGCGGTTTTTGTTTTGCCGATGCTCGAGGCGCTCTGGTGTCCTGTAGCCGGCTGCTTACGTTTGCAGTGCTTTACTACATCGAAGAATAATATTCTAAGTAAAATGTGACGAAAGCATGCTGTTTTGGTTGTTTTTACTATCTGGGTAACTGGACACCACCAAAGGTATATTGACCTGGCCAGAGCGCTACCTAATATTTTTTATTCTACAGTGGGCGGCGATGAAGTTCGCCAGGCCGGCGGGCGCCTCCGGATTATATTACGTCACGCTTTAGTTCAAAACGGTTAAAAAATGTAAGCAAGGTTAGTTGAGTACATATAACACACATATATTTTAAGGGTAGCAATGTGCATACAGACATAATTAATGTTCTCAGTTACTAGGTTGAGTTGTATATTGGCTATACAAAAGAATAACGGACAAAACATTTTCTGAAAAAGTTTCTTTACTATTTTAAAATTAAAAAAAAAAGTTACACTTCATACGTGAGCACAATCATTGGTATATGACTGGCAAACCTGTACAAATCAGATCATTTTGGTTCCGTGGATCTGCACTGATCGCAAAGGGTGACGCCTGACACCCGTTTCCGGGAAGCGATTCATGGATAAACGGCTGAAACAGCAGCAGCTACGGCTCTGGAGTCACGATCTTGCTCCCGGGGACAGCGGTCAGAAGTAGCTCTGCAGAGGCTCGCCCAGGATGACCTCCATCTCACGGATGACCTTCTGCACCTGATGTTCCACCTCCTCACACTCATCTGTAACACAAGCATGTTGCGGTTAGCACTGGGGGGAGGGGGGAGACGGGCAGGACCTCCCAGCAAGACTAACTGCCATTAGACTTCAGTAGCTGTACTATTCAGAAGATGACATCATGTGTGCAGAGGTGGAAAGTTCAGGTCCAGAAAGTAGAAATCCAGACCAAGGTTTTGTTTCAACCAACCAATTGAGTACTCTGTGACTCTTCTCAACAGGTTGGTTGAAGGAAAACCTTGGTCTGGATTTCTACTTTCTGGACCTGAACTTTCCACCTCTGCATGGGTGTTCTGCAGAAAGGCCAAAATATACATTTAAGCTTATTATACAGCCAGGGGCTAATACTGAGTCAGGACTTCGAAATGAGAAGCGTGTCCTCTGGGATTTACACACGACGCTTGGCATGGAACGTTTCAGAGTAATATCTGACAGTAATACCCATTTTTGGATAACATGAGCACAAGTGACGCACCTTCCATCAGTTCGGCCAGGAACGGGATGGTCTCGGGCAGCAGGACCATGTAGTTCTCACGGAGTTTGCCGGCGAGCTCCAGCAGCATGAGCAGAGCAGAATACCTGACCTGGGGCCAAGTGGTGGTGGTGGTGGGGGGGGTGCTACAGCAACTGTGCTGAGGCCTGGATGGTGCTACTGGTGGCACCTGTCCAGCTTTGGGGCGGGGGGGGGGGGGGACATGGAAAGCAGCTTTAGGTCATTAGCCTCAGGACCCACGTTGTTGTATGTAATTTGACGACCCAAATTATGATTTAACAACAACAACAACAACAACAACAGTATGACATTAGAATTTAATATTTTTTCCCAATCACAAACTCCATGACCCAATGAAAATAGTCCAGCACGACTGACAGTTCTGAAGTAGAGCTTCAGATGAAGCCAACCAGCTGAGAATGCAGCTTTAAGTTTGCAGTACATTAAAGACATAGGTCAGGCTTTCTTTAAAAGTAGTTTTTTTTTTTTTTAAAGCATTTTCTTTGGCCTATTGGTCATTCAGGAATAAAACACCCCACTCCCAAAACACCTGGGACCTGAACGTGTAGCGATTTGGCTGTGAGCTGACACAAACGCAGAGGACCGCGATCGAAGCCAGCCCAGTCCTGAGCAGAGGACCTCCTGTAACGCAGGCAGATCCCAGGTCTGATCACTCAGCTGCACGGCTCGCAGACAGAGGCGTGGCAATGCGCGGTCGCAAGGCGAGAAGCCGAAGTGTCACGTGTTCAAATGGAAATCAATATCTGCTTTCATACTGATCCTTTTAAGAGTGGTGCTTGACGCATTGATTTTAAAAGGAAACTGCCTTCTGTGTTCTTAAATATCCATCGTACATCAGCATCACGGCACTAACAATGACACTGACAAGTGATTCACCAGATGTCTTTCCAGTAAAGATTGCGTGAGTTTAAATACCATAGTATGACCACATTTAAGTACAGTAAAAGATGACGAATGGCAGAATACTTGTGTTATGATGCTTCGCTGATTCCTATTGAAATGTGATACTCTGTGCTTTTTGTGTTCAAATTCAAACTGACTAACACAGAACACTTTCTCCCCTACAGTCTCATGGCTGGTTTGGTAATGATCGGATTACAGGTCAGAA